TGATTGTCCAGCGCCTTGGGACGTCCTTCCGATGTGAAAGGCACTGTACATATGTCATTTTGTGGTGGTTGTAATAGCTCAGGGGTAAGTTGGGTCTCAGTTGGGTAGCATGAGTTGAGGAACTTGAGGTGCATTCTCATTCCTATTTCACAAGCTATTCATTTACTAGTCTCTCACTCTGGCGTTGGGTATCTTGTCTTGGGGACATTAATGCCTTAGATATATTACATTGTTCTTTTGATGCAGTCTCTGTACTGTTGCTAAGTGTTGTTTGGCTTTTATTTGTCATTTATGGATTTAGAATGGAATCAATGCCACTGGCTACTGTGTGAATCAAAATTTACTCCCAGCCCATTTAAAGAAAAAAAATTTAATCCAAAAAGTTGTCAGTCATCTGACCACTCTCGGGTTTTAAAATGTATTAGAGCCGACTGTCTTCTGGTTATTTAATAGTTTTTAAAAGTGAATCTCCTTTGAGGCATTCTGTGTATGTTCTCGGTGAAATAAAGGGTAGGTGGGAGACATTACTAGAAAATAATCTTCTTGAGGAGCTTGAGTCCAATTTATTTTCATCTGAGTTGTGAGATGAAGTTATTTATTGATAATCTAGCTGAGCTATTTTTAATTGTAAAAATCAAACCTAATCTCTTGGTGTCATGTGTGGATGCCCGTGAAAGGCATTTCATTTATCTGACGGCCATTGTCACAGGTGACAACAGGGATCAGCACACATCGTTCACTGAGGGTGGAGCATCCTGACCACAGATTGCATTTGTCATGTAATCACAGCATTTTTACTGGAATTGAATCTGCAGTCGATTACTTGTTCTCTATATGAAAGTGGCCAGAGTTTCCTCTTGAAGGAAGAGTGAGCGTGTTTCTTTTTTCGTAAACCTTTCTATTCACAGGCCAGAGTTGCAGAAGAAGATGAAGCCATGAGCATTGATGAGAATTTCTGCACAGCTTTGGAATATGGCTTGCCTCCAAATGTAGGCTGGGGGGGCTTGGGATCGACAGGCTCATTATGTTTCTTACTGATACTAACATTAAGGTGTTATTGAAGTTTAATGGTCAGATTGTTCAGAATACATATTCTGGCATAGGAACAGCAACAAACAACAAGTTGCATTTATATAGCATCTTTCACGTCAGGAGGACGTCCCAAGGCGTTGGACAGTCGAGGGTTTGCACCCAAGCTGGGGGTTGGATTCAAGAGGGTTGGCAGTGGGAAGATGATCAAAGGCATGATCAAAGAGGAAGGTCTTGAGATGGAAGGAAGCAAGGGAAGGAGTGATGTGAAATTCTGTGGGATAGCATTCCAGCAGGTGGGGCATAGACACTGAAGGCTGGACTGAATCAGGCCAGTGTTTAAACTTAGTCCATAGACAAAACTACCTACGGTTGACACTAAACTGACAATTACACTCTGAGGAGCCACAAACCCTTCTATTGAAAATGGGGAGGATATCACTAAGGGACTTGGAATGACTGCTTGTCTGAAAATGGGATTGATATAACCCTAACTGCAGGGGTAGAGTAGTGGCAATTATACAACAGTAATCAATCTGTGGTGATGTTTCTCCACCTTGACATCTCTCAGTTTGTACACTGGAGTCACAGCAGAAGTGAAAGAGAGCAGAGACACAAATTTAAGGGACTCAAGGTGAATATACTTTAAATATTGTCTCTAAGGTAGCAGGATTTAATTAATAACCTTAAATCATGAAACTAAGTTTACAATAAAAAAACCCTCACACTTATCTGCTCTATCAATGAAATCATTCCCATTTAAGTTTATTCTGGCAATTGCCTTGAGTGTTTCAATTTCTATTAAAAAGGCAATGCATTAGCTAAGAAGTGAGATAGAGGGCAATAACTGCACAGTCAGTGAGAGAGAGAAAGCTGTGTAATTAATGAAGTATAAAATCCAAATCATTCAAAACTCTGCCGCCCGCATTCTCACCCTCACTAAACTCTGCTCCCCGATTACCCCAGTCCTTGCCAGAGTGCACTGGCTGCCTATCCCAGAGAGGATCGATTTCAAGATCCTCAACCTTGTATTCAAATCCCTGCACTCCTCTGCACCCCCCCTACCTCTCTGACCTCCTCTCTCCTCAAAACAGTACCCGTTGCCTTTGTTCCTCCAGGTCTGGGCTCCTCCTCATCCCCCGAGTCCTCTGCTCCACCCTCGGCTGCCGTGCCTTCAGCCACTATGCCCCAAGGCTCTGGAACTGCCTTCCTCACGCCCTTCGTCTCGCTCCCTCCCTTTCTATTTTCAGGTCTTTGCTGAAGACCTTTCTTTTCGACCGCGCCTTTGGTCACCTTCCTCCCCCTTCTCCTGGCTCGGTCCCGGGATCCGTTACTGTGAAGAGCTCTGAGATGCCGTCCGGCGTGGAGGGCGCTATATAAATCCAAATTGTTGTTGTAATAAACTGCAGAAAATAATAATTTAATCGTGTTGGGAAATATTTAGATTTTTTTGTAGCAACTATTCCATAACAACATTTTAAAGGAGTGCAATGTGGCAGTTATATCAGGAGGTTGTTATAGACTGAAGGCTCATGTAAATTTCTAGCCCTAGGATAGGAACAGTGAAAATGGAAATGGGAGAACAGACAGCATTGAAATAGTTATTGAGAAACGTTGATGAAAAGTCAAGGTCCATAGTGCAGGAAATTACCAAATTTGAAAAGAATGCAAGCAAGCGGAAAGCAGGCCCATAACTAGAGCAGCTGGAGAAAATGTAAACAAACCTGCATTATGATGAGCAGATAATATATGACTGTGGTATTTTCTTGAATTTATACTTCAATTTCAATAATATTCCTTGCATTTGATATAGCGCCTTATCATGTTGTTGAGATGTCTCAAAGCGCTTAACAGAATAAATTGTAAAGTATATTGTGGGCGAAATTTCAAGTTTGTGCCTTCTACAATTTATAGAAAAATGTTTAACAGCATTTGATGCATACTGTAATTTCTATGGTTCTGTGGTATGGTTTCCTTCTTTATGGAGCACTCAGACAGTATCTTGCGTGAAAGGTTCAACATGCTCAAAGGCTCAATATGCTCAAAGACTCAAATGCAAGTTGTTGTTGACTATACCCATCAATTGGCCTTGTAATCACAATTAGGTATCCATTATTCATTGTTTTAACAACTAAAGCTCCTTTAAAAGTTCCCTGCTCATTCTCCTACCAACAAACAGCTTCTCTTTCACTTGGGACTGCCCAGAGCACACCGGACAATAAAATTCTCCATGCTCAAAAAACATAGAAGTGTAGAAGGCCATTTAGTCCATTTTCCTATGTCGGATTTACTCATCCAAGAAGCCATCCATCTGAATCTCAATTCCCTGCTTGTTTCCTGTACTCTCTGAAAGCATTCCTCCATCACCATCAGTTCTGCTGTGAAGCCTGAGTTCCCTTTCTTGACTGACTTTATTTGTCCCATTTCCCTCCCTCCCACTTCTCTTGCTCATTATCTTTCTCTCTCTCTCTCTCTCTCTATATATATATGTATATAATTATGGTCATTATAATAGTGATGCTTTCATCTCTCTTTGCAGCTTATTTCACTTTTTTTTCTTGTATTTGCTTTGTTTCCCTCTTTGCTGGACTGAAGGGTTTGAAGTGTTCTGCAAATAATTACCAACTTGCTAACTCAGGACAGGCAGAAAATGTTACTGACTCACTTTTGTAATTGGTAATCAAATAGCTTGCTGTGCTAATTCAGCAAACACCCATTATTTTCTGCATTTAGAAACCAAGTCTGAGAGGGCACAAAGTGATGGGAGATACAGAATCAAAGAAACTAACCACTAAAATTGGAAGATTTTCCAGAGAAAATCTCAGCAACCGTTTTAAAAGTAGAACAAGATCACTCAGTAAAAGTTCAGACTAATCCAAAATCTGTCTGACCAATAGAAAGGCCATGCTGTGCACTGAAAAATTAAAAGTTATAATATTGAATATAAAAATATTCCAGGTGCAAACCCATTTTATGATTAAGTTTAAAAATGGATTTGTTTCACATTTTCATCTTAAGCAGCTTTGAAAAAATCAAACAGAAACAGGAATGATTTATTTAACAGCCCCGAAAACCAGAAGAAAAGCATCTTCAGGTAAGGCCAGACATCTTTGCCTGAATTATGTTGTGCATTGTATATCACAATATACAGAAATATAAGAGATGGAATGAGCTGTCCAACTAGAAAGAGAAGGGAGTTTTTCCCAGTGCTGTGGCCAACAATTCTCAGATAAATTGTCATTCACTTTTATGACTGTTTGTGGGACAATGCTGTGCATAAATTAGCTACTGCATTTTCCTACAAATACATGGACACAAGTACAGAAATTTACAGCAATTACATGTGAAGGGTTTTAAGATATTTCAATTTATAGGGGTAATAGAAAATACAGATTATTGTTAACATGCTCAAAAGGTTGAATGGCACACTCTTGCCATTTATTAATATTACTAGGGATGGCAGCATAAAGCTATCAAGAAAGATTGGACAATTTTAAGCTTTTAATCTGAAATTGAGACAATTGAGATGGAGAGAGATGGTTCAATTTATGAAGGGATTCAATAAGGTAAACATAGACTGTTTCCACTTGTTGGTGAGTCCATAACAAGCAGGCATAAAGTTAAGATACCCAGACCTAAATGAGATTTTGATGGGAACTCCTTTACACAGAGGGTGAATTGAATATGGAAGGCTCACATTGGGACTTTGAATTTACAGATTAGGCTAACACCCCAATACAGTGGTGGGGGAGCACTGCATTGTCAGAGGTGCTGTCCTCTGGCTGAGAACACAAGATCGTGTTTGCCTGTTCAGATGGATGTTGAAAATCCCCAAACTATTCGGAGGGAATGGATCTTCTCCTTGTATCTGCTTTACTAGCAGCACTGACAGAAACTCCAGGGTGCTTTCTGGGAAGCTCCGAAATAGGGCAAGCATAACAGGGAAAGCATAACATAATTTACAATCACAATTTACCAGAAACATTTTTATTAATAGTTCTTTTGCATTGCACATTTGAATTCTTTTTTTGCAGGGGATCCTGTATCCTACAGAATTGTTACCTCGGCACTGGCTATAAAACTGTTTCCAATAAGTTACCATCTCTGATTCCACAGTGTTTAGAAACAACATATTAATGAACACCGTTGCACGGTCAATATTTTCAATTCCTCTTCTGAATAAAAGTGTTTCTCATTTATGAATGTTTGACTTTAGAACCTGAGTGTGGTTCCTTATATTGGCATGAATGCATCTGCAGTGACTGATTACTTATTCAAACTGCTCTTTGATTCTGAGTAATTAATTCAGTCTGCTAATGCAAGACAACATCTGGTTTCTTGTGCTGAATGGAAGAGTTTTTTCAGTTCCTTTACCGGTTGTCTTCAACTATAATGGTCCTTTTTGGATAGGTGTCAAAATCCACAAATATATAACAAAAGTCATATCTTCCACTTTCTGGGTTCTGCAAAAAACAAAACAAAGGAAGAATTAGATTCACTGTTTTGCTTTCTTGTATTTAAAAATAATTGGAAGAAAAGTAATGTTCTGTGCTATCCTCTCCTAATTGGCTTCCTTGGTTATTTTTTCCATGAATATTTCACAATACACAAAAATCCCTGGCTGGATTTAAAATAGGTACAAAGCAGCTCTCCAATAGCCTTGTGGAGAATGGTCTTGTGAGTAACGGCACTGCTCTGTGTGGCAGTAGGGCATGCATGTTAAATCTAGGTTTTCGAGGGGAGGCTATTCTTAGCTGGAGCAGCACTTAGGGGCATGATGATTGAACTCGCTACGTAAAACAATTTCTCCTCACATACCCTCTTTCTTTTAACAACTATTTTAAATCGGTGTCCTCGAGTTACCGAGCCACCCACCAGTGGAAATAGTTTCTCCTTGTTCACCCTATTGAAGCCGCTCATAATTTTGCAAACTTCTATCAAGTCGCCTCTTAACATTCTCTGCTCCAAAGAGAATAATCCTAGACAAATTCACTTTTGTCAGTTTGTTTTAAAGTCCGACTTGTATGAAAACTTGTATCCATACTCAAGAGTATCCAAACTTGACTACAAAGATTGCCACATGGAAATTTTCCTTTGTCTGGAATGGAGTACACACTCCCCTGGTCCCCTACAGTGGGATTCATTTAATAGTGACCAAGAATTGCTAAAATGGAATCCTGAGAGTACCAAATAGGAAATGACCCCTATTTATAAAATGTGTGCAATCCACTTTCATTATTAAAATAATGCAATCAGTTCTTTTGGCTTGAGGAATATAGTACAAAAGTAGGGAAGCAATGTTAAATTTACACAAAACTTTTGGAGTATACTTTTTGGAGTTCTGGTCCCATACTGAAGCTAGGATATTGTAACATTGGAGAGAATGCAGTGTTGATTTACTAGGATGTTACCAGGACTATCACAAAAAATTTGCACAGGTCAGAGCTTTTTGTTCTGGAAATGAGATGACTGCGGGGGAACCTTCTATATGCAGAAGGTGGTGAGAATGTGGAACTCACTGTGAGAAGCTGTGATTATAGCAGAAAGCACTAATCCATTTAAGGGGAAACGTGTTGCTTATTTGGAGGGGTGCAGGCTCCTGTGCACTGTATCATGAACAACGACAACCTGCATTTATTTAGTGCCCTTCACGCGGGTAGTGTCTTGGAGCGCTTAAACTGGTTGGGCCGAGTGGCCCATTTCCCTGTTGTAACTTTCGATGTAATTCCCAGGATTCCCAGTTAACATTCTGAGTTGCTCTTAGGGAATACCATTGTGAGTCTTCTGTCTTCCTCAGTTTTCTCCTACCCACCCCCAGCAAAAGTTTGACTCAATGTTTTTCTACAAGTGTGTATTAACATTTGTGGTTTCATTTTTGTGATGGGGCAGGAGCTTGAAAAAAGGCTGAAATTTTAAATTATTAGTGAAAGATGAACAAACCTATGATGCACCAAACAATACAATGAAAGGGAAATCAACAAGCTAACCTCTTTGGCATCTAAGTGCACTGTTCCTTTTATAGGCTCGATGCCTTCAATGTAAAACACGAGTTGAATATGTTTAGTGCCATTCTTTATGTATTCCCTGTGGCTGCAAGGCAAGAAAAGAACAATATTATATAATAGTTTAATACACTTCTATTCCAGAGATTTTCTGTTAAACTCTTCTATGCTAGAAATATTCTGGACCACATGTGCCCGTGGGACAGGCTCTAGAGGCAAAGTGATTGATTTGTACTGGGCAAAAGTGGAAACAGTCCGAAGCACCAAGATTAAAGTCACCCTAATGTATGTTACCTTACCAGATCATAATCAAGGCCATAACTACAGCCATCATCTTGATTCATATCCTTTGTGTACTGCCTCAATAATGCCAAACTAACAATTTCCCCATACTTCAGCAAAATTTACTCCAGCATATTCGATCAATCAGACAGCTTTTATGATCACTTTATTTTTTTGGCTTCAGGCTGAAACTAAAGAAAATCTATATTATACTATTAACATAATTTTCAGTCACTCACTATAACCTCATATAATGCCAGGGCTCATAAAGTTCAAATACCACTTGGGATCCAGTATTATTTTAAAATATGGACCAGTGCAACAGTCTGGTCCTGGATTGTTGAGTGGTGCTATAACTACTTTTTATACAAAAGTAAATTATATAATTTTGTATTCCAGACACTTCTATTCCAGAGAATAGAACCCACGCAGTTCATATACAGCAGCACATAGTTACATTAATAATAATAATCCTTGCATTTGATACAGCGCCGTCATAGAATCATAGAATTATATAGTACAGAAGGAGGCCATTCGGTCCATCATGCTTGTTCTGGTTCTTTGAAAAGAGCTATCCAATTCAATCCCACTCCCCCGCTCTCTTTTCATAGCCCTGCAAACTTGTCCTCCCCAAATCTATATCTATTTCTCTCTTAAAAGTTGTTATTGAACCGGCTTCCACCACCCTTTCAGGCAATGCATTTCAGATCCGAACAACTCACTGTGTGAAAACATTTCTCCTCACCTCCCCTCTGTTTCTTTTAACAACTATTTTAAATCGGTGCCCCGGGTTACCGACCCACCTGCCAGTGGAAACAGTTTCTCCTTGTTCACCCTATCAAATCCCCTCATAATCTATTAAATCATCTCTTAACCTTCTCTGCTCCAAGGAGAATAATCCTAGCTTCTCTAGCCTCTCCTGATAACTGAAGTCCCTCATTCCTGGTACGATCCTGGTAAATCTCTTTTGTAACCCTCTACAATCCCTTGACATCCTTCCTGAAGTGTGGGGCCCAGAACTGAACACAGTACTCTAGCTGAGGCCTAACCAGTGTTTTATAAAGGCTCATAAAACGTCCTGACTTTTGTATTCTATACCCCTATTATAAAGCCTCGTATCCCGTATGCTTTTTTTTAAAAAAACAACTTTATCTACCTGCCTTGCCACCTTCAAAGATTTGCATATATGAACTCCCAGGTCTCTCTGTTCCTTCACCCCCTATAACATTGTACCATTTAGCTTATATTGCCTCTCCTCATTCTTCCTCTCAAAGTGCATCACTTTGCATTTCTCCACATTATACTTCATCTGTCCATTTTACCAGTCTGTCTATGTCCTCTTGCAGTCTGCTACTATCCTTCTCACCGTTTACTACTTTTCCGAGCTTAGTATCACCTGCAAACTTGGAAACTGTACTCTCTACACCCAAGTCCAGGTCATTTATATAGATCAAAAACAGCAGTGGTCCCAATACTGACCCCTGTGGGACACCACTGCACACTTCCCTCCAGTCAGAAAAACAACTGTTCAGCACCACTCTCTGCTTTCTGTCTCCCAGTCAGTTCTGTATCTATGCTGACACTGTCCCTTTAATACCATGGACTTCTATTTTGCTTACGTCTCTTATGTGGCACTTTATCAAACGCCTTTTAAAAATCCACATAAACTACATTAACTGCACTACCTTCATCCACCCTCTCTGTTACTTTATGAAAAAGATGCCTTATCATGTCTTTGAGATGTCTCTAAGCACTTCAAAGAATATTCTATAAAGTTGACTGTATATTTTGTGGGTGAAACGTGGCAGCTAATTGTACACATCAGTATTTCACAAATAGTTGTGGATTGAATGACCAAATTATTATTTATTTATTTTATTGAAGGTATTCTTACCCCCGAAAAGCGATCCGCCAATCAACTAAATATCGCGTTCCTACTTACTGCAAAGTGAACAGAGACATGTGGAGTAAAGAAACTTGCCCAACGTTTCGCCCTGCTGGGAACCGAACCCAGGTCCTCTCGTTTGCTAGGCAAGTGCTCTAACCACTAAGCTACAAGACTCCACTTTAATAAGATACCATAAAACAAATCATTAGATGGAAACCACTTTATAATGCAGTGTCTCAGATCCCCCAAAATATTAGTCGCATTGTCCACAAAGCAGCCATTGGTCCAGTTTCTGGGTCATCTGATGTCACTTCCTGGCCTCTACCACCTTTCCTGGCAAACTGTCAGTCATAATTTAACCTCTGTGTTAAGAAAAACTTCCTGGTACCTGTCCTGCAATTTCCCTTTACAACTCTAAACCTATGTCTTCTTGTTCTACCAACTTGATGCATCTTAAAATACTGAGGTTTTTCTTTTCTTATCCCAGTTAAAATTTTATTCACCTCTATGAGGTCCCCTCAGAGTCATCTTCTCTCAAGACTGTAGAGCCCTAGCTGATTCCTCTAACACTGAGGATCATCCTCGATGCTCTCTCTGCACTGTCTCTAGGTCCTGAGCAGCCCCTTAATGTCGCAGTGACCAGAACTGCATGCAATAATGAGAGTTAAAATTGGGCATTCGTGCATGACTGTTTGTAGGGTATTTCTGTATGCAAATTGGATGCCACATTTGCCTATAAAATACACAGTCACTACTCCTTATAGTAAAACCTGTGAAGCACTTTGAGAGGTCCTCCTGATGTGAGGGAATCTATAACAAATGCAAGAATTCTTCTTAAGATGTGTTTTTGAGTTTACCTGACATGCCGTCGTCTACCCCGTCGAGTTGTCTCTCCATAACCTTTTATAGGTCCGCCCAACGCTCCAATTATCTGGCCAAACAAAACAAAAATAAAAATCTAACTACGAATATTTAAAATATCATTACACGCATCAGAATTTTTTTTTACAATTCTGCCTTAAACTAGAATTTTATACTTCATAACTAGCTGTTATCAGTGTCGCACTTTGAACCATAGAATGTCACAACAACAACAAAAAATTACATTTGTATAGCCTTTCACGTCAGGAGGACGTTCTAAAGTGCTGAACAGTCAGGAATCCATACAGCATAGAAACAGCATAGGTACAGGACATTTAGTCCATCAAATCTGTGATACAGCTCATCAAAGAGGAAACCAATAATTTGTTACCTGATTTATCATAAATTTGCTGTCATTGGAAATACATGTGCACTGATACAATTATAAATGCGCAAAAGCATTATACATAAACAGCATATGATCAAGGAGAGACAGACAGACACACTATTCATTGGGGGGAACTTATACAATATTTATACAGTGGTGCAATATATCATTAGATGTCCTGGAAGTTTCATTATAACAGGTCTGTGAAAAAAAGACTACCAATCCTGATTCTGGGTTGTTAGTTATTGACCCTCCTTCCAACTTCCGGCTTGCACAAAGCTGAAACGTCCGGGCTGGAAATGTAATAGTAATCCTTGATTTGATATAGTGCCTTAACTTTAACTGTGCTTACGGCCACCTACACCCCCTCCACTGGCTCGGAGTGGCTCCACCACTGTTAAGTGCTCTGAGACGCTACCCTGTGTGGAGGGCACTATATAGATGCAAGTTGTTGTTGTCATCACATCTTCGAGATGTCTCAAAGCGCTTCACAGAATATACTATAAAGTGTAGTGGCTGTATATTTTGTGGGTGAAACCCGGCAGCCAATTGCATAACCCCAGGTCCACAACATTCCTTGAGTTTTGACCAACTCATGCTCTAGTGAGGCACTTAGTAACAATGTTGACCTGAACTACACAAAACAATTACCAGCTCCTCCATCTTGTAATTGTGAGTTACTATTCAAACAAATTACAATACACAGACAAATAATTGCACAAAGAAACACTGAAAAATACTTATGGCCTGAAACATCAATTGGGTGGGGATTGATTTAACCCAGAATGTCACTGTGCATGTGAAAATTGACAATACTCTATGTATTTAAGGCATCCAAGACACTACCGTTGTATAAATATAAGTTGTTGTTGTTGCCTGTATGTACCTGGAATGGTCACAAGCAAATGAAGTTTAAGCCACAATGCTCCTCCTCTGTGAAACATTTTTAACATCTGTTTTTGTCTTTCTCCACCAGTTCTGCCTTCAAAAACTATTTAAATATGAATCTCTGGCTGTGACTTTGATCATCATCAGCAAATTCCCCTTCCTTTTGTCCCTTCCTTAGTGATTTACAACATCTGTCAATCACTCGAGACATTCATCCCACATAAAAGATGCTATATAAGAGCAAGTTTTTCAATATAAATCAATGCAAGCTATTCATCCTTCAGCCTTGTAATAACAGGCACAAGGAGCAGGGAGCAGGCACCCTGAATAACAGCAATAGATAGCAAGTACGTTGCAAACACCAGTTAGGGAGCAGGTACCTTGTAATAACAGATAGGGTACAATTACCTTGTAACAGCAGAGGTAGGGACCAATTTACTTGAGTGAATCTCTGAAAGTCATATTGTTATATTTTATTTAGTTTGGATGCTGACGTATTTTGAATTTCAACAACAACAATTTGCACTTATATAGCACTCTCCACGTAAGGTAGCATCTCAGAGCGCTTAACAATGGCGGAGCCTGTCTCCGAGCCAGATGGAAGAGGTGACCGTAAGCACGGTTCGAAAAGGAAGGTTTTTCAGGCGATACAAATTAATTTCAATTCTACGATACACACAATTACACTTTACAGAGGCATGAATTCTCTTAAGAAGTTATTTTATTATTTTCCTCTTTATCTACTAGTGCCTCTGCTTCTCCCAGTGAAGAGGAGACCAGGTTTCAAAATGAGCAACGTGTTAAAGATGACAACTTAACTTCCAAGTGAGCAGCTCTATAAAACTATCAATTAAAGCATTTCTGAATATTTTTAACTATTACCCTGCTAAATGGACATCAAAATAAACAAGACAAATCAGAAAATATGTTTTCACCCAGAAGGTATTTAACAACTGGAACAGGTCATCATAAGTATAGTCGAGGCCAGTGCATTAGACTGATTCAAGTAACAGTTTGAACCTATAATGGAAGGATGGCTGAATGGGTATTCTGGAAGAATGAGATCAAATGAGAAGGGCCTTCTGCTCCACCCTGGACAAGCTCCTGCTCATCCAGAACTCAGCAACCCTATCCTCTCCCACACCAAACCCAACACTCCCATCCTTGCCAGGCTCCATTTTCTCCCCGTCTCCCTGTGAATCATTATCAAGGTCTTCACCCTGATCTTGATATTCCTCCATACCCTATCTCTGCAATCTCCTTCAGTGCCGCTCTCCTGCCCGTTCCCTTCACTTCTCGGTCAGGCTTGCTGCACATCCCTTACAAGCTCCATAACACCATCAGTGGCCAAGCCTTCAGCCACTTTCAAAACTCTTTTCAAAAACTTGGTACTTGATGTTTTTCCCTAACAATTCCACACATGTGCTTTGAGTCTTTGTTTATTTTATAATTCACAGATGTTTATTTTGTCAGGTGCATTGCTCGAGCCAGAAGATGATGAGGATTTAACTCTGAGATCACGATACAGTGAGCGACGGAGCTTGTGTGGGTGTAACTTACTCCATCTAATGATCTTGCCAAATCCCTTGGCTCAGGCTCTGTGCTGCTGCCATCTGTTCAGACGTTTCTTCTTTCAAATATTAAAGAGTTTGAACAGACCTTGGATGACTCAGCAAGTTTATTTAGTGGATAAACCAGAAATATATTCACATACATGTACACGAGAGCCTCATTATAAACACTGGGTCCATAAAATCACAATCGGCAATAAAACAGGCGTCATAGTCGACACTTCTGCATTCAAAATACACCTACAAAGCATATAGTCACTATACTTCACAATAAAATACATACTTTGTGAGACATCCTTTTAAAATGAAAGTCACTATATCAAATGCAACAATAACTGTTATTTATTTTTAACTTCAGAAGTCAGCGCCCTTCAAAATACTGGACAGCTTTTTACATGCTAAAACAAAACTGAATTATCTAGTTGCCACCAATTCATTTCCTGTGCTATGTTTCCAGCTTTCGCTGTGCAATTTGGATTTTTTGGTAAGTAAATATGAGAGAGAGAAAAAAGCAATGGTTGTAACACAGCTCTAAAATCGCAAAGTCACAACCAATCAATCACTTCTCTCGATTCTGAAAAACATCCAGTTTTCATCCCTTCTCTATCTTTGTCCTTTAAGTATCCTTTTAAAGAAAAAAATAATACGTCCAATTATTTTTCTATTTTTGCTTCTTATTTGGCATATGCTTCTACATGCCCTGGTTTGACCTCCTCATGCTAGAATGTGGTTCTACAGGCACTGGTCACCCTCCGATACCTGCTCCAAGTGCTCACATCTCACAAAGCAGCAAGTCCTGCTAGGCCACTGGTACCTACCATCCCCTCGTGAGGGCTCAAACAGGCGCTTGTCGGATGTTGAATAACCGACTACTAAGAACATAAGAATTAGGAGCAGGAGTAGGCCATTCGGCCCCTCGAGCCTGCCCCACCATTCAATAAGATCATGGTTGATTTTCTGACCTAACTCTAATTACCTGCCCTATTCCCATATCCCCTAATCCCTCTAGTTTTTAAAAAATCTATCAGTCTCAGACTTGAAAATGTTCAAGGAATTGACTATAGCCTTGGGGGTGAGGAAGTAAGTGGGGTCTCCTTAGAGCTGAACTGGCTCCAACGTAAAATGCTTGGCAATGGAATGTCGGAATCAACCCAGCCCTCTATGGCAGTCTCCCTCGGAAGTCCAGTTCCTGAGCCAGGTGGTTCCGCAATATTCCTGGCTCATCGACAGGACCTGGAAGGGCAGACCAGTCACTGGGGGCAGACAGCTGTCCCATTTCGCTCCTGTTAACCCTGCAAGGTTAACAGGAGCTAAACAGGACAAAACCCTAACGGGTCGGGTTGTCCACCCTAGCCATTAGGGTTTTGGCTTAGTTGTAGGAGGACACTGTTGAGATTAGCTTCTCCTCAACCGGCTGCCACTTATACGCACAACCAGCAGAGGGGGCCAAAGAAGGATGAGAAGCAGGAATTCTCTCTGGATTTCTAAACAGAAGTTATTCTGCGAAAGACTGATAGTTTGCTAAAGAGGAAGACAAAAAACAAATGTCTGGCAACAAGTAAATCTACAGAATGGGGTTCATTATAAGGAAATGCTGTCAACTTCCACACAAAACAGTGATTGATATGGAGCTTTAATGATACATTCAAATCACAATGCAGAACTTTAAACTAGCATACCTCTGGATGGGCTCTACACTTTTCCAAAGCAGCTCCGTATATTTTGTTGGGACTTGAGGAGGAGAACAGTTCTTTAAATATCACATAGAACAATCCACCTGCAATGACAGAAGTTTACTTTAAAGGGGAAGGAAGAACACTGCATGGGGAAGAGGTAGTATTTTTAGTTTGAAGGACTTATTTCATCCCAACTCATTAATGGCCTCCAAGTCACTGATGATTTATAGGAAATATAGTACTTCTCTTAAAGATTGCCGGTGCGTAAACACAAATATATACCCATAAAAGAGAAATATCTTACCAGTTACGGCAATCCCAACTACCACTACGGCGAGATAGGTGAGGTCTCTTCCAGCTTCTTTCACTGATGGTACAGAAGAATTTAAAATAACTTTGAGCACATTCTGTTGTTTCATAGCATCAATGCTACCCTAACAACAACAACAAATTTAATTTGCATGATGCCTTTCATGTCGGTACTGGCTTCTTATAATAACAACCATGATTATTTTCTTAGCACAACAAAAACATGCATTTACAAAGCAATCTTCATATAGAACAATGTTTCGGAATGCGTTACAAAGGCGACTCCATGGGGGTGGGGGGACGGGAGGAAGAGTTGACCATAGTCATGATCAGAGGTAGGTTTTAAGGCTGGACTTGAAGAGCACAACAACAACAAATTACATTTGCATAGCCAAATAGAGAGGGGCAAGATGGAGGGGCTTGTAATGACAGTGGTGCGTCACCTGTTCATGTATAAAATCTAAAGGAGATGAAGTAAAACATTGAACGCAACGCTAGACATGCCGGAGACAAAATACTAAGACAAAATAACATGCTAAAATATACAAATTGCAAGCCTATATAAAGACAAAGGCAGGATTCCTTGGGACTGAGGTTTGGAGTGTCGAGATCTTGTAGGTCAGTGGTTAGAGCAATGGCCTTCCAAGCAAGAGACCTGGGTTCGATTCCCGGCAGGATGAAACGTTGGCCAAGTTTCCTTACTCCAGACGCTTCTGTTTACCTAAAAGTAAGTAGGAACCCGGTTGTTAGTCGATTGGCGGATTGCTTTTCCGGGGGTAATGATCCCTCCAAAAATTTTTTTAAAAATTGGTCACTTCAATCCACGATTGTTTGTGGGACACTGCTGTGCGCAATTGGCTGCCATGTTTCGCCTACAAAATATACAGTCAATTTACAGTATATTCTGTGAAGCGATTGAGACTTCTCAAAGATATGATAAAGCACTATCAAATGCAAGATTTATTATATTATTATTATCTAGTGATAGGCCTAATCTGACTCCAGACAGCTAAACCCGATTCTCCCAGGGTTCTACGTTTTAGCTGTCCTTGCTAAAGATCAGAAAGATTACATAAGTGTGCATTTTATTAGTTGTATTGTTCAAAAGAAACAAGAGGCATATAAGAAACGCGTGTTGTTGAAATCCTAATTGTGAATTTTGAAGTATTCTTATGGACTGTAATCTCAGAGATTAGCTTGAACTCAAGCCCATGCACAAACATAACCTGAGTCTTATAAAAGATGGAAGAAAGGAGTCCCAGAGGTTAGAGGCATCCAATTGGAAAGTTTGGTAACCAATGTTTCTTCTAACATGATTCATCAAAAACAACAACTTGCATTTACATAGCGTCCTTCACACGGGGTAGCGCATCACCCTGGCTCGTCCGACAACGAGCCAAGGGGAATGGGAGTGGGGGAGGTGACCGTAAGCATAATCAAAAGAAGATCTTTAAGTGGGATTTGAAGGTGGGGAGGGAGGAGGCAAGACAGAGTGATTGAGGGAGAAAGTTCCAGAGTTTCGCGGCATAGCGGCTGAAGGCACGGCAACCGATGGTGAAACTGAAGGTACGAGGGACAAATAGGAGGCCGGAGCCAGCCCAGCGGAGGCAGCAGGTAGTGGAGTGGGGCGTAAGCAGCTCAGATAAGTAGGGAGGTGTGAGGGAATTAAGTGATTTGAAAACGAGTGAGAGGATCTTGAAGTTGATCAGCTCGGTGATTGGGAGCCAGTGGAGCCTGGCAAGGACTGGTGTGATGGAGGTAAAGAGTTTCAAGTGGATGAGTATCTGGGCGGTGGAGTTTTGAATTAATTGGATTTTGTGTAAGGTGGAGCTTTGGAGACCAGCGAGGAGGGCATTGAAATAGTCCAGTCCAGAAGTGCCGAAAGCGTGGACAAGGGTTTCAGCTGTGTGGGTTGTGAAGTATGGACAGAGGCGAGGGATGTGGCAGAGATGGAAAAAAGCGGTCCTGGTCAGAGAACGGATGTTAGAAAGGAAAGCTGAGGACCGAACCTGACACCTGAGTTGCGAATGGGTTTGGAGAATCTGAGGGAGAGCCCGGGGAGGTTGAGGATTTCAGACCTACAGAAGAGAAGACGTTGACAGGAGCCAAAGAGTATGGCTTCTGACTTGCCGGCATTCAGCTGCAGGAAATTTGCGCTTATCCAGGCCTTGATGTCCATCAAACAAGTTGACAGGACATCAGTAGACTGGAAGTCGCAGAACTTTCCAATCGGTTAATAAAGCATGCTGAAATGAAACCCACAACATTACCATCAGTTGAGATAATTATATTTGCATTTGGTATAGCATATTTCAAGTTTGGAGATTGTTTCAAAGTGTTTCACAGAATATATTATAAAGTGCAGTGGGTAGTATTTGTAGGCAACTATAATAGTCCATTTGTGCACAGCAATGACTCACAATAGCTATGAAGTCAACGGCCAATTCTATTTTAGGAATTATTGGCCAGCACATCGAAAAATTCCCTTCACTTTTCAAATAGTGCCAAGGGATTTTAACATCTACCTGAAAAGACAGATGGAACCTCGGTTTAATGGCTTATCTGAAGAAGAGCACCTACAATAATTCAGTACTGAAATTGAAGCATCAGTCCAGAGCATATGATTTCAAAGTTCCATCACAAGCTGACAAACTTTTCCATTAACTTCTATTTTCCTGGAATGAGCTGTTCTACATAGCAATTACTGTATTCTGTGATAGTCTTTAATCCTTTGGTATGAATGTCATGCAATAATCAGATTGAATATCCTAGCTGTATAATAATAATCCTTGCACTTGATATAGCCCTTTTCACGTCTTCCAGACATCTCAAAGCGCTTCACAGAATATGCTGTAAAGTGAATTGACTGTATATTTGTGGGTGAAATGCGACAGCCAATTGTGAACAGCAATGTCCCACAAATAGTCGTGGTTTGCAGTGACCAATTTATTATTATTTTTTTCTTGCGGGATTATTATCAGGCATGTGGAGTAAGGAAACTTGCCCAAGGTTTCGCCCTGCCGGGAATCGAACCCAAGTGTCTCGTTTGTGAGGTGAGTGCTCTAACCACTGAGCTACAGGACTCCTGAGCTATATCTCACATGATACCCAGCAGCCAACAATGAAAATCATCCTTGACCCCCAAATTATGTAAAATACATGGAAACTGCAATAATCTGAATTTAAAGTCCTCAGCAGTTCAGAATGTGCATTATCTCAGATTTAGTTACATTAAATCTATTAGTTCCTCCTTGGTCAATATACCAATGCTAAGAGGAATAACTTGTCCTGATAGTTTTGTATGTATCATCCGCACAATACAGTAACATCAACAAATGTTACATTGTTACTAAAAGTACCTTAAGACAGTTATGAACAGCAGGGATCCAGAACAACAACAACAACAAAATTACATTTCTATAGTCTTTCATGTCAGGAGGACATCCCAAGACCCTGAACAGTCAGTGTTTCAGACCCGAGCTGCGGGTTAGGATCAGGGAAGGTGGAGGGTGGGGGGTGGGTAGGGAAGGAGGGTGATCAAACGCACGGTTGAAGAGGAGGGTCTTGAGATGGGTCTTGAAGGAAGCAAGGGAGGGGGTGAGGCGGAGGGACTGCGGGATGGAGTTCCACAGGGTGGGGGCAGATTGGCTGAAGTCTCACGCACCAATGGTAGAACGGGCGAGGAGGGGGACATGAGGTAAGTTGGAGTCCTATAGTTAAACTTGCTTTTAATCCATCGCCAAACAGCATTCTCTATTTCAGAGGTTCCCAAACTTTTTTCTGCTTTCCCCCCACTTCGGAGATTCTTGTTCCATGTGCCCCCTCTTTCTAAGAAACAGTATTTTTGCACAGAACATGCAGATTTTATTTTCTCGGCTAATATAGCAAATTGTTTAAGCAGAAAGCAACATAAATGGAACACTAACACTACTCTACTGTTGAATAAACTTGCACATAAACGAATACTGGATGACTCACCTTTGTTTCAGGGAGTAGGATAAGCCTATTTTCTATCAAAAAATTCTTAACCAGTCAGATATCTCCAAAAGTTTCAAGTGGCTGATGCAGAATGCAATAAAAAAAACTTACCTCTGAGTGCGGGAAGCAACTGGGCTGTGTGCGAACCTGCACCAGCCTCGCAAGAACACTTGTAAGATTAAATAATAATAATCCTTGCATTTTGATTTGTAAATGCGAGAAATGTACCGGGACAGCGGATTTGGGGGGTCAAAACGGGATTGTTGGAAGATATGCAGTCAGGTCCTCGCACCCCCGATAATCTTGTTACTTCCCATCACACAGGGGATACTGGTTAAGATCCTGGTCCTCACCTTCAAAGCCTTCCGTGGCCTTGCTCCGCATTACCTCTGCGACCTCCTAACCCCCTACCAATCTGTCCATTCCCTCCGCTCAGCGGGCTCTGGCCTGCCTTCAGGCACTCCTGCCCCCACCCTGTGGAACTCCATCCCGTAGTCCCTCCGCCTCGCCCCCTCCCTTGCCTCATTCAAGAACCGTTTCAAGACCCTCCTCTTCAACCGTGCCTTTGATCATCCTCCGTCCCCCCTCCCCCCCGCCCTCCATCCTCCCCAATCCCGACCCCAGCTCGGCTCCGAAACGCTGACTGTCCAGTATCTTGGGACGTCCTCCTGACGTGAAAGGCGCTCTACAAATTTGTTGTTGTTGTTACACCCCTCGGGGGGGGGTTAAGCACTCCACAGTTTACACCCATACACTATATGCTTTCTGTATAACTGGCAATGCGTTCACTTTGAGGTATTAAAGTTTTGAGAACAAAATACTCGTCACTACATCTTACAATAAATCCCGTGAAGCGACTTTCTCCCGATGTGAAAGGTGCAATATCAAAATGTGCGGAGTACCAGAAAGGGGTAATGGTGAAGGGGCAGAGCCTTCAACCATCTGATAGACTGGTGAAACAACAACTTGCACTTACAGAGTGCCCTTCATGCAGGACAGTGCCTCAGAGTGAGGTCTTGATAGGCTGAATGGCCTCCCTCCCGCTGCCCTGCATTCCTACTTATTTAATGCTGACTGGACTGCGTACCTTCAGGAAGGGTGAGAGGTTTGAATCAAACATTTGGCCACGATATGACCAGCACTCCCACTATTGTGGAGTCCTGTGGCTCAGTGGTTAGAGCACTCGCTTTGCAAGTGAGAGACCCGAGTTCAATTCCAGGCAGAGGGCGAAACCTTGGGCAAGTTTCCTTACTCCACACAGAGCCTAATAATAATCCCTCCAAAACCAAAAACAATAATAAATTGGTCATTTTCAATCTACGACTGTTTGTGGGACATTGCTGTGCGCAATTGGCTGCCACGTTCGCCCACAAATATACAGTCAATTCACTTTACAGTGTGTTCTGTGCAAGCGCTTTGGGACGTCCTCCCGACGTGAAAAGCGCTGTATCAAATGCAAAGGATTACTATAATAATGAATATTATTATTATTATGGCGCAGAGCTGAGCTCTGATCCAGTTACCTTTCTGAGCCGTCGACGGGGTCGGGGTGTCCCGTTTCAGCGCCACTTCGTGCCTTCGGTCCCTCTGCGGATTGCCGCCGCCGCCGCCTTGCAGGTTGGCCGCCGCGAAAATGCCCCGAGTGGGACCCGGGCCCGGGCTGGTCCGCCCCTCGCAGCGCAACGAGCCGGGGCTCGGCAGCGGGGAAGCCCCGGGCCCGGGCCCGGAGAGGGCAGAGCAGCGCACCGCAGCCACGGGGCAGCCTCGCAGCCCCACCTTGCACCGAGCCGCCCTGCCGGCCTGCACCGCTCGCCACATATACACCACCTTCAACATGTTTTCTGGGCTGTTTGCAATCCCCCCCCCACCCAAAAAAAAAGGAGGAGACGCCAAGGAACCCGCTGGCCGTGGGGGAGGCCTCTCTTTTTTTTTGCTTTAAGCAAATTCCGTCTTTAGCTGCAACATGTTGCATTCACAGCTCTGTGGCTGTGGGGGGTCGCAGCCACTCTTCGCTCTGGTCGGAGTTCAAGCACTCGGGGCCCAATGGGAAATGGAGTTTCCTTCCTCTCTTGGCTTTCACTGTGAAGTCAATTCACTTGACATGTGTGTTCTGTGAAGCGCTTTGGGACGTCCTCCCGACGTGAAAAGCGCTGTATCAAATGCAAGGATTATTATTATTATTATTATTATTGTTTCGGTTGCTCGAGCGAACTCGGGAAAGAAAGCTGCAGTTTCCACCCATCTCTTTCTACTTGCACCGCACGCGCTCCAATTATATTGGATCTCTCTAATATTAGTACACATTAGTTACTATGTGTACTAATATTAGAATCGTTATATGCGGTTTCTCCTGGTCAGCAATCATTCAACAATAATATTTGCTGATTTGTTTCATGGCTGTTTGGGGTGCGTTGCTGTGCACAAGTGGGCTGTTGTGTTCGCCTACGAATATACAGTCATTCCACATCACAGTAAATCCCGTGAGACATTTTGGGTTTTCACCATTTTGGTGACATGAAAGGTATGATACCAATTGCAAGGATGATTATTATACAGTGTCTTTCACGTCGGGAAGATGTCTCAAAGTGCTTCAATAAATAATAATAATCCTTGCATTTGATACAGCACTTTATCGTGTTTTCTAGACGACTCAAAGTACTTCACAGGATATACTGTAAAGTGAATATACTGTAAGGGAAGTGACTGTGTATTTTATGGGCAAATGCTGCATCCAATTTCCACACAGCAACACCCACTAACAAATGTATAGGTTATACACAAGTGGAACTCAGGCCAAGATGTTTTGGGGAGGGTCACGAATGAAGTCAAAACAGGATGTTTTAATGAGTTCCTTCAACAACAAAATACGATTCTCCAACAGTGATGAACAGCAACAAATACAATTGCATTTATATAGAGACTTTTACGTTGGGAGGACATCCCAAGTTGCTGGGCAATCAAGGATTTGCACCTAAGCTGCGGGTTGGAATAGAGAGGTGAAGGGCAGGTAGCTTTGCCAGTCATTCGAGATATCCCCGATGTGAAAGGCACTATATGAATGTAATTTGTATTTTATTGAATAACTACTGGAAAATGCAATGGCTGTATTTTTTAGCTGTCAGCAATTTACAAACGGTCATAAAGTGAATGACCAATTTTATCTGGGGGATTGTTGGCCAGTAGACTGGTAGAAACTCTTTTTTCAAGAAGTGCTATCCAATGTGAAGGGCGTTATATAAATGCAAGTTTGTTGCTGGTTATTGTTGATGCTGTGTTGATTAACTCCTGTGCTGAGTTGCAGATGGTGGGATAGGGGAGGGGGTTGGATAGAAGTTGGAAGAGGTTCATGTTGCTTGCGCTGAGATTTTTACAGTTGAATAGCAGCAGTGAAAGTATTATTCCAAAGTTTGCTAGGTTGCTTCTAGGATTCGGAGTCAGGCCCAAGCAGTTGGAGTGAAGTGCTTGGTGAGCAGGGTGGCCATAAACTAAACACGTTTGTAGCTCAAAGTCAACCGAATGCAAGTCCCCAAAGTAGCCCGATATTATGCGTCGCCTACTGTGGAGTAGCAGAGCGGTCAATTTACATTAGAGCTTTGGAAACTCTGCACGAAAACGTCTCCAAAGGGGCAGTTGCAAATTGGGGAATCAAAATTTTAAAACCAGGGACTCGCCCAAAGCAAATTCCCACGCAGTGCAACACAAACCCGCCCCATTGGGCGTGAACCCGCGCAACCTGCCCACGAGTGCTGGTGCCGTGCTGTGGAGGGAGGATTGATTGACATGAGGCCAACGCAGCCCCGCCCCCTGCTCGAGCGGGTCTCAGTGCAGGTGACTCCGCTATTGGATGCCGCACACGTCCATCAGAGTGACTGCGCCACCCGTCCCCGCCCTCCGTGAATGCTGATTGGCGGCCCTGGCGAAGACCGAGGCTCTCCCATTGGTGGATACTCCTGCCAATCAGCCGCCGCTCCGGTGGCGCCGCTGAGCCCCCGCAGCACAGCGCCGCCTTCATCACCGGCTCCGGGGACACCCCCCGGAGAGCGCTCACATCACATCACAGTGAAGCCTCCGCCCCGACCGCTGCCCTCTCCGACTCACTCACTCTCTGCTCACTCAGACCCGCGGCCGCCCGTCCGCCATCCCGCCATCCCCGCGCTGCCCGTCTCGATGGCAACGGCGGTGGCGGCGGCGGCGGAGTGAGGCTGCCGCGGAACAGCGGCCCCTGTGGTCGGTTCAGTGAGAGAAGGACAGGGCGGCAAAGGTGGGTATTACACCGCCCCCCAACCCCCCCCCACACAGGTATCTACACCCCCCAACACCCCCCAACACCCCCCCACACACACACCCCCCCCCCCCCCACACACACAGGTATCTACACCCCCCAACACCCCCCCCACACAGGTATCTACACCCCCAACACCCCCCCCCCCCCCCCCACACACACACACAGGTAACTACACCCCCAACACCCCCCACACCCCCCCCACCACACATAAACACACACACACAGGTAACTACACCCCCCAACACCCCCAACACCCCCCCCCACACATAAACACACACACACAGGTATCTACACCCCCAACACCCCCTAACCCCCCCCCCCCACACACACAGGTAACTACACCCCCAACACCCCCCACACAGGTATCTACACCCCCCAACACCCCCTAACACCCCCCCCCCACACACACACACAGGTAACTACACCCCCCAACACCCCCCCCCCCCACAACACACAGGTATCTACACCCCCCAACACCCCCCCACACACACAGGTAACTACACCCCCAACACCCCCCAACCCCCCCCCACACATAAACACACACACAGGTATCTACACCCCCCAACACCCCCCACACACAGGTATCTACACCCCCCAACACCCCCCCACACACATAAACACACACACACAGGTATCTACACCCCCAACACCCCCCCCACACACACAGGTATCTACACCCCCAACACCAACCCCCACACACAGGTATCTACACCCCCAACACCCCCCAACACCCCCCCCACACACATAAACACACACACACAGGTATCTACACCCCCCAACACCAACCCCCACACACAGGTATCTACACCCCCCAACACCAACCCCCACACACACAGGTATCTACACCCCCCAACACCCCCCCCCCCACACACACAGGTATCTACACCCCCCAACACCCCCCCACACACACACAGGTATCTACACCCCCCAACACCAACCCCCACACACAGGTATCTACACCCCCCAACACCCCCCCCCCCCCCACACAGGTATCTACACCCCCAACACCAACCCCACACACACAGGTATCTACACCCCCAACACCAACCCCCACACACAGGTATCTACACCCCCCAAACCCCCCCCTCCCCCACACACACAAGGTATCTACATCTGTTGCTCTTTAATGGATGATTGGAACATATAAAAAACAGAACTTCAAAAGTGAAGCAAAACCCTGCAACTGTGGTGATATCTGTTTCCGTTCTGAGATTTGCCAATTACATGACATTGGAGTGGAGTGCAGAATTGCACAGCAATCGATCATGTGTATCAGCCCCTGCACAGATTTAGTCCCATGCTTCATGGTCAGCAATATTCCTCATATAGCAGAATACCCTGGCACGATCATTGTAGTCCAAGGCATATCAACAGCTCCATCCTGACCCTGGTCACAGGATCAACATCCCACTCTAGAAGTTCAAGGGCTGCCCTCTTGACCCAGAAGGTGACTGGCCAGTGATCAGAGTGATGCTGAACAAAAAAATTTGAGACTATAGGACGTGCCAAACCACTTAACAATAGTGGACTCAATGACTGAAAATGTAGCCAAGGATTCTCTTGCTACTGCAGCTGAGATCGCAAAGTCGTGATCACAAGTGGTTTAATTATGGTTTAAATCAAGTTAGGTATGCTTATGCATGATAGCCAGTGTCAAGCTGACCTGTAGAACTACAATCTTAATTAAACTGAGCTGAGTTGCAGAATCTCTATCTGAGCGCGACAGATGTTACAGGTAGCTGTTATAACTCTAGATAAAATGTGATGAGAAAATGTCAGTTTGCTGTGCTTTGTATTATGAAGATCTAAACTGGCTAAGAGAGAAGTGAGCTTGTTAGTGCAGCTGTAGCTTGTGGGGTATTGTCCTGTATTATCTAAATCAGAGTCAGCCGGCCTGATTAAACAACTATCAAGTGCGTGAAGACGTGTGGGCCTGCATGTATCAGCCTAATGTAAAACAAGAGCACTGTGATACAAAAGAAGAATAGCTGCATTTTGGCAGTTCAAGTTGGTAAAAGTGAGTACATCTTTTTCATGTAAACAGCAAACTGAAGGTGGGAGGGAGCCCGAAGGCACGATCGAAGAGAAGAGTCTTGAGACCGGCCTTGAAGGAGGCAAGAGAGGAAGTGAGGCGAAGGAACTGTGGGATGGAGTTCCAGAGTGTGGGGGCAGAGAGGCTGAAAGCCCGGCCACCGATGTTAGGGCGGGTCGGACAGGAGACATGGAGCAAATCGGAGCCTGCTGAATGGAGGGAGCAGGCAGGTTGGTAGGAAGCAGGTCAGAGAGGTAGGAGGGGGAAAGACCATGGATGGCCTTGAAAGTGAGGATCTTGAATTTGATCCTCTGAGGGATGGGAAGCCAGTAGAGTCGAGTGAGTGATGGGGTCATGGAGCCTGGTGCATGAGTACACGAGCTGCAGAGTTTGGATGATCTGCAGCTTGTGAAGGGAAGAGTTGGGAAGGCCGATGAGTAGGGAGTTTCCATAATCGAACCTTGAGGTGATGAATGCGTGGATAAGGATTTCAGCAGCCTGAGGGGTTGTCAGGCTGGCAATGTTGCGGAGGTGGTGGTAGGCAATGTTGGTCATGGCGCGGAGAAAGGACAGTTCAGGGTCAAACAAGACACCCAGGTTCCTGACTGGCTTAGGGAGGTTGAGTGTGCAGCCGTGGAGGCTGATGCTGCAAGCGCCTGAGGTACGGAGGCGCAGGCACGAGCCAATCAGGAGGGCC